AGAGTGTTTGACAGACACAAACCCTAAACCCTAAACCCTAAACCCTAAACCCTAAACCCTTAGCAGCAGGCAGCAGCACCCGCGCACGTCGAGCCTGACGCGAAAGCGCAGTTCCCCAACTCAGCCAATAACAAACCCTAAACCCTAAAACCTAAACCCTAAACCCTAAACCCTAAACCCTAAACCCTTATTATTACCTGAAAAATGCAATTAGCAAACGAGAAAGAGTTCTCGACTGCATGGGAGTTGGCGGCAGCGCCAAGGCGCCCGTGAGGTGTCTGTACACCTGAAGCAGCAGCTCCTCCGGCTGCTGCAGCAGCGGCTGCGCTCCGTACAGCAGCAAAGCAGCTGCCTCACTTGCTGCGCCTGCAGCAGCAGCAGCAGCAGCGGCAGCAGCCGCAGCAGCGGCAGCAGCAGCAGCAGCGAGTGCAGGCGTGGGTAGGCCTTCAGAGCAGCAGCGCCGTGCAGCGTCAACAGCAGGAGCAGCTGCAGCAGCAGGAGCAGCAGCGATAAGCCCGCAGCAGCAGCAGCAGGGATAACCGCGAAGCAGCAGCAGCAGCAAGTGCAGCAGCAGCAGCAGCAGCAGCAGCAAACGGACCAGGCTCAAGTTGTGCTGCTGCTCGCAGCAGGGCTTTTCCCTTCTCCTCCGCGGAGTGTCCATACAGCCCAAAGGCCACTTGTGCTCCTGCAGCAAGAGTTGCGTTTGCAGCAGCAGCAGTAGAAGCAGCAGCAGCAGCAGCAGCAGCAGCAGCCCATAGAGCAGCAGCTGCTGCTGCTGCTGGGGGCTCCGAGACTCCCAAAGGGTAAGCCACATTTTGAGACAGAAGCGGCTTAAACTCCTGCGCGCATATCAATAAGGCAGCAGCAGCAGCAGCAGCAGCAAGAGCAGCAAGTGCAGCAGCAGTAGCGCCAACAGCAGCAGCAGCGGATGCAGCAGCAGCCAATATACACACGGAGACTGGCACGCTGCCTGTTCATCTGGGCATTTGTGGAGTATATATATGTGCTGCAGCAGCTGCTGCTGCTGTAGTTTCTGCTGCTGCTGCTGCAGTTGCTGCAGCAGCAGTTGCTGCAGTCGCCGCAGCAGTTTTTGTGTGTTAGGTTAGTTCTTTATCATAACATTTAATTTCTTTCTACTGTTTCTCAAACAAACAAATTAGAATAAAGATAAATAAATAAATAAATGAATAAATATAATTAATTAATTAATTAGTTAATTAATTAATTATATTTTTGGCCCACCCGCTGCAGCAGCGGAGAGAGTGAAAAGGAGCAGTCTGCTGCTGCTGCTGCCTCCAGCAGCTGCAGCAGCTCCCAAATCTCTTCCAAGGGCACTTGCTGCTGCTGCTGCTGCTGCTGCTGCTGCTGCTGCTGCTGCTGCTGCTCCAGATTCTGGAAAAGGCTCTGGTGAGTTTGCTGCCAATGCTGGAGGTGCTGGCCTAAGGAAGTGCAAATACGCACTCGACGCTCCTGCTGCTGCTGCTGCTCTTGCTGCTGCTGCTGCTGTTCTTGCTGCTGCTGCTGCTGCTGCTCCTGCTGCTTCAGGTAGAGGATAGCGTATGCATGCATCTCTGGGACCAGGGGAGACTCCTGAAGAATTATATTAACATATATAAACCCTAAACCCTAAGCCTTAAACCCTAAACTCTAAACCCTAAGCCCTAAACCCTAGACCCTAAACCCTAAACCCGAATTGAAAGGAGAGCACAAGAAAGGAACAAACTAGCGGAGGTGTATGTACACCTCAAGCAGCTTAACTTGTTGCTTTGTGAGGTAAAAAATCGGGCAGTAAACCCTAAACCCTAAACCCTAAAGCCTAAACTCTAGGCTAGAAACCTCTTGAAATCTCAAACCCTAAACCCCAGCACTTTAAAAGGGTTTAGAGACCCGGGGCTCACGATCCAGGCCTAGGGTCTTGCAGTCTAAAGTTTGCCGTTAAGGATTTAGGGTTTAGGGTTTAGGGTTTAGGGTTTGTAGTCAAGGGTTTATGCTTAAGGCTTCAGGGTTTAGAGTTTGGAAGCGCCTAGGGTTTGGGGTTTAGGGTTTAGGGTTTGGGATCTTACTCCCCAATGCGCCAGCTTCTTCCGCAACCCGGAAACATCCAAGGAAACTGGGGCTTGCAGCATTGTGTGTACATCTGTAGCTGCTGCTGCAGCGACTGCTGCTGCTGCTGCTGCAGCTGCTGCTAGGAGCCGCAGCAGCAACATGGTGGAGAGAAGGGCCAGGGCCCTGAGTGCATGCGCTGGATTTGTTGCAGCCGCAGAAATATGTAAAATAAAGTATAAAATAAAGTAAAAAATAAAATAAAATAAAATAAAATAAATTATCTACTATTCCGCTTTTGTTCTGGGCGCACACGAGACGGTGCCGCCGCCTAGAGCATTTTGTTCCAGGTGTATGTACAGCTCAGAAACCCATCACTGAACTTTCGCCAATTTTTGCGCGCTTGCAAAATTCAGAAAATCAAAACAAAACTTCTTCATTTTTTGTCTACAGAACACTCAAGACATCGATAATGTGCCGGGGCCCCCATAGGGGGCCCCTGGGGGCCCCCGGGGGGCCCCCAGGGGGGTCTTCTGCAATGGAGCCCCTGGGGGCCCCCAGAGAGCTGCATGCAAGAAGCGAAATTTTTACTTTAAATTACTTTTTGAAGCATTAAATGCATTAAAATAATTAATTTGACGAATTTTTGAAGTATTTAGTGACAAAACTAATCCAATTTGCGCTGCTTTTGGGTGCATGCAACTTTGCTGCCAAGAACTAACCCTAACCTTACACTTCCGCTTTTGCCGTATAAATTGAATTTCTTTTTCTCCCCTCCAGCCCCTCTTTTTGGGACTGAGAAGCAAATATAAATCCATTTGCATGCATTTTGATTTATTATTTATTTTAAATCTTGAATTAACTCCTGAGAAGACAATGACCGAAAGTTCTTCCAAAAAGTGGCGAAGGGCTGAACTGCAGCAAAAGGAAGATACAGTTCGGCTGTATGTACACCTCCGTGCAGGCTGGGGCCGAACTGGCTTTTTCACTTTTCACTTTTTCTTTCTGCCAGTTCTATTCAAATATTCTTTGCTGCTGCTGCTGCTGCTACTGCTGCTGCTGCTGCTGCTACTGCTACTGCTGCTGCTCCTACTGCTACTGCTACTGCTACTGCTGCTGCTGCTTCTGCTGCTGCTGCTGCTGCTCTTGCTTTTGCTGCACCTTTTAAAAAAATGGATTTCTATTTTTTTAATTTTCGATAAAACCATTTTTGCAAATGGCCGTGCAGCTCAAATGCATGCAAATGCAAAAAACAACAAAAAATAGAAAAGAAACTTTTTTGCTTTTCCTCTGCATGCAAAAGGAAGAAAACAAAAAAAGGTTTTTTGGGAAAATAAAAAATACACTTTCCACGGAAATGCATGCGCCAGCACAGCCGCGCATGCAGCGGCAGAGATATTTTTGAAATTAAAAATAAAAAAGAAATGAATTATTTTTATCTTCTTTGAGGCCCAAAGGTACAAGTAATTGCTTTTTAGATTTAAATATATTTATTATATTTTTATCTTTTTAAACAAATGCTTGCATGCATCTTTATATGTATAAATGGTCTTGTGATAAATTGGCAGTGTTTGTTGCTGCAAAATAAAAGGACAAAAAGGAAATTAAAAACTTATCTTTTGAGACTCTTTTTCTTATTTTTCACTTTTTGCTTCTTAAAATTATTTATTTGTTTTAACTTGATAGCAACACAAGCTGAAATTCAAGCCAAATGAGCAGCGCAGAGGTCAGGTTTTGTGGTTTAGGGTTTAGGGTTCAGGGTTTAGGGTTTCAGCCTAGGTTTCAGTATCTATACTCCACTTTTAACTAGCAGACAGTGATTGTTCATGCAGGGAGCCTTCCCGCCTCTCCACCTTTCGCTGTATCGAGTTCACTAGGGTTTATGGTTTAGGGTTTAGGGTTTAGGGTTTAGGGTTTACTTAAGCGTTTAGGGTTTAGGGTTTAGGGTTTGTCATCTACCCCAGTACCCACGCGGGCTCTAGGGGAAAAAAGATGCAGCAGTGAAGCAGCAAAACTTTTCACAAAAGATACCTCAATGATTTCAAGAAGAAAATATATATATTTCGAGTTCGTAATAAATATACTTCGAATTATGAATTTTTGTTTCACCGAGCTTGTCTATCTTGACTACTCCTGAGAACGATTTGGGTGATTTGAAACAAATATATATAAAAATAAAGCTGTAAAATTAAACTAAATTATTTTTCTTAATTTTAGATAAAGGTTTTAAATGTTATAATTGCGTACTTGTGCTCGAGTTCAAACCGGGGCAGGTGATAGCCGCATGCACAGCCAGCCCCAGCCAGCCCGAGCTGCTGCTGTGCGCGTGATCGGCTTCATTTGGAAGAAATTGAATTTAAAAATGAAAAATAATATTTATTTTATGACAAGCGGATTTGCAAAGCTGGAAAACTAAGCACCTCCGATGGCGCTGGTGAGCTGTCTTTGCGACTGCTGCTCCAGCTGCGCGAACCAGAGCAGCAGCAAGTGAAAATTCGCCTTTTTCTTTCCCTCTTTTAGACAAACTTGCTGGTAATTTACTTTTCAACTTCTTAATCTTTTCTTTCCGCGAAAAAAGAACTCTCGAGGAGGGCCGGGGAGCCCTTGTCTGCGAAACTTGGATTTCTTGATTCTGGCGCCACTGCCTGTGTGCAACTTCGCCTCCTTCTTGAAAATAATTGCACTAATGCAGTTCTAGACGGCGCATGCAGCGATAAATTGGAGAAATAAAGGCAGAAAAATGCGTTAATTGGTCCTTTTTTGAATTATTGAGTCGCTTTCCTGATTTTTCATTTCCGAAATTCAAGTTTTGTCTGCTGTCTGCAGAGGATCGCACGGCCGCTGCTCGCGGCCGCCAGCTCGATGCCGATGCCGGTGAGCGGTTGAGCCGCTTTTGGGGTTTTTAATTCAATTAAAAACTTGAATTATTATCATTTACTGTTTAAATAACATTGTTGGTGAATTATTATCGTTTATAGCTCATATTATTGCCATCACAATCCCTGTTGCTGCTGCTTACGCAGCCGTCAGATCAGTTCTGGCTGCAGCAAAAACGCCGCTGCAGCTCTTTTGGCTTGCCTTCCATTCCAAGTTTTCGTGTGTGGAGCAAGCGCATGCATGCAAAGAGTTTTTGCTCCATTTATGAGTGTTTCTTTGCTCGCTTTCCTGCGTATTTGTTTCCTTTTGCATCTCTTTCTCTGGTGAGGTCCTTTCTGCACGCCTTTCAAGTCATTTGGTGTCACTTTTTGGCCTTTTCCGCTTCTTTTGCTTCTTCTTTCAGCCAATGGGCACCGGAGTTGTCTTCGATAGGGTCTTGCCCGTCAAATACGCCCTGAGCGGCCCCAAGTGGTGCGCTGTAGTAGGATCGGCACTGACGGGGGCTTTCGCAGGCAACTATTTCTTCAAGAACTACATCATGCGCAGGAATCCCCCGAATGTGAGCTTTAAATGGGATTTTATTCTGCAAAATACTCCTAATTTAGTGGATTTAAAGTAAAGGAAAAGGATAAAAACAAGAAAGAGCAGCAGAACAGCAGCAACAGAGAATTCAAGCGGAATTCAGATTCGCCGGGCAGCCGGTGGGCGCTTGAGCTCCAGCTGCCTGCAGCAGAAGCTAAATGTTTTCATAGCTTGATAAAATAGAATTTTAAATTTTAATTCAAGTTTATTTTTGTTTTTAAGTAATTTTAATTTAGTTTGTTTTAATTTAACTTCAATTTATTTGGCTTTTGCAGCCGCCCCGAGACCCCAACGAGAGGCCGCCGGAGCGGCACCCGCACGCGCCGGAGGAAGAATGAGGTGTACGCGCAGCTTTTGTGCAGAACAATCTGAAAATCATTTTGAGGATTTAAAAAATAAAAAGTGCAGCTGAAAATTGGAACTTTTGCGAATCTTTAAAACGCAAAATCCTCAAAAGTTGATCACTGACAGCCCCCATATTCTCATGTTCAAGTTGGGCGAGTAAGCCAGTCATATGTGTGCGCAAACGCATGCATGCATTTGCGGTGTATATATATAATGCAAATATATCTAAATATTCATTATTTATTTTATAAATAATGAATGTTCCAATTTCGTGGCTCCCCCGCCAAGGCCTCGAGTTGCTGCGTTGATTCTGCAAAACAGCGGGCCAACCTTCGTGGGCTTTCAACATTTTTTTGCTGCTGCTGGTTTCTACGAAGTTGCTGCTCCTGTAGGGTTTAGGGTTTAGGGTTTAGGGTTTAGGGTTTAGGAGGCTTTAGAAACGGGTTCAGTTGCAAAAAGCTGCGGCTGCACTGCCTCCCGCAGCAAATAGAAACCCGCAGTATCTTTTGCATATTTCACAAATTAAATAAAAATGAATATTTAAAAATATTCATTTTAGTCTTTTTGAAAAAGTGCTTGCGCAAAGACAGCAGCGTTTGGGAATATTCTGACAATCCCACTTATTCACATTTGCACTCCAAAGCTGCAGCATTTATCTATCTACATGTATATATATATATATATATGTATAATATATATATATTATATATATATACAATGTATATAATATATATATGTTATATATATTGTATGTATTTAACACAAAATGTACAGAGTGTGGATGTTTTAATTTCTGTGGGTTACACCTTTTGCATGCAGAGTGCTACAGCAGAAGCTGCTGCTGCAGAAGCCGAGCCGCAGCAGCAGCAGCAGCTGCTGCTGCTGCTGCTGCAGCTCAGCTTCTTTGCAAGGCGGAGGGGCTCTGCCGGCTGCTGGGACAAAAGTACCAAATATGTTTTTAAATGGAGAACAAAGTTAAAAATAAAGTCAAAATGTGTTTAAAAATAGACAATAAAGTTTGAAATAATGCCAATTCAATGCACTTTCCAGGATTTTCCCCCTTCTACTTGCCCTCTGCAGCACCTGCTGCTGCTGCTGCTGCTGCTGCTTCTGCTGCTGCTGCAGGGGCCCCCAGCAGCCACAGCTGCGCTTCGTCGCCGCTGCGGCAAACCTCGAAGACGGCGGCGCGCTGTGCGCAGCACAGCAGCAGCACAGCAGCAGCGTAGCAGCAGCACAGCAGCAGCGCAACAGCATAGTAGCAGCAGCATAACAGCGGCACAGCAGCATAATAGCAGCAGTACAGCAGCAGCACAGCAGCATAATAGCAGCAGTACAGCAGCATAATAGCAGCAGCACAGCAGCATAATAGCAGCAGCACAGCAGCAGCGTAGCAGCAGCACAGCAGCAGTGCAGCAGCAGCACAGCAGCAGCGCAAGAGTAGTGCATTAAGTTGTTTTTTGGTGCAGTTTAGGTCTTCATTTGATGCATGCAAAGGCCCCAGAGCTGTTTTATTTTGCTGCAACTTTTAATTATTTTAATTTTTTTCAATTCCCACTTTTTGCTTCTTTTCCAGGGTGTCTGTCTGTACACCTGCTTTTGAAACCTGGACCATCTATTATCTACATATATATTTATTTGTATTTATATTTATATTTATATTTATATTTATATTTATATTTATATTTATATTTATATTTATATTTATATTTATATTTATATTTATATTTATATTTGCATTTATATTTATATTTATATTTCTAAACCCCTTTTTGCCTC